ATATATATATATTCTGTGCAGAGAACTTCTTGTGCTATAATATTTTCAAATAAATATATCAAAGCTCCTCAGTTGAAAACACTAAAATGATAGAAATTATGTTTAAAAACCTCTTTCCTCAGAAAGTCTTCTGTCCTAAGAACGCTAAACTGTAACTTTTAATAAGGTCATGTACACAGTATACTCCTATTTAAATGAAAATATTTGACCTGTAAGCAGAAAGCTTATGGATGTTGATTTCTGCTCTTTATTTCAAAGAAGAGGAGGAGAACAAAGAAGTTTTACTCAAGCAGCTCCTGAAACTCTGCTGACTAACATTTGTAATGTATTGATGACTAACACGTCATCAATTACCCAGAATGCTTTGCATGTAAATAAAATGGCTCCGCCCGTGTTAAAATATGTTTTTAAAAATTTACAAAACTAAACATCCTACCGTATTTTTACAGTCTTTATTTTACAGTTAAAATATATGTTTATCAAATAAAGTCTAATGTTACAACTAATAGGGGATCCCTTTAACAAACATGAAAAGGTTTATACTTACAGCTGCAACTGTTAACATGTCAAACACTTTGGTGCAATAACGCCAGGCATTTGCATTTCCATACTTGGTCTGGCACTCATCTGTGAAACATAAAAGAAAAAAATTGAGACATGGATGTTTTTCCTTGCAGATCAACTCCTTCCATATATCTAACCTCACCATAAAAGCCATAAACTTGAGTGATCTGCCTGCTCTCGTGGTTTCCACGAAGAAGAGTGATGCGGTCTGGCCATTTAGCTTTCAGCACCAGCAGATAGGTAAATGTCTCCAAGCTGTAATATCCTCTGTCGACAAAGTCTCCCTACAGACCAGAGATGTTTGTTACATACACCCAGACAAGAAAATAAAAACAAAGACTAAATGTTTCTGAAGTTAAATTCAGGAAGAAAAACTCAAACCATGAAGATGTAATTTGTGTCTGGGACCTGGCCACCAGTTCTGAAGAGTTCACAAAGATCATAAAACTACAAGAAAAGCACAACAGACTGTAGTGTGAGCATCACATATTGGTAACTATGTACAAAACAATTCAACAACTATAGTAATGTAGTTTACCTGTCCATGAATGTCTCCACACACTGTTACAGGGGTAGAAACAGGCTGAACGTTGGACTCCTCCAGAAGAAGATCACACACATAATCACATAACCTCTGCATCAAACAAACAGCAAAGCATTTTAGTTTTCCATGCAGACAGAGACCTGATATTCAATGTTTTGTTCTATTTTCCTCAAAGTGTCACACAATCATCTTTTAGTTTTGCTAAGWCTTTAAAAGTTATTAAATTTTGAATAATGAAGATGATATTTGGAGCTGCAAAAACTTTTATGCTACATAAGAAAGGCAACAAAACATTCTCTTTTCTTTCTTCAATCCTGCAAAACTATTATTAATAAACTTGAGTGATATATATATGCTTGGCCTTCAGAGGAGTCAGATGCTTTTTGCTCTCTCTCCCGAACCCGTCCCTCTTTCCCTGCTTTGCAGCTGGGTCAAGCCTTTCTTTTACCTATCATTCGATAACAAAGGAATTATGGATTTGGTCAACTGGTCTCTGAATGCAATCGACACTATTTTTTCCACACTGAGATTGGAACAAGGGGAGCGCAGCTGTCCCAGTGGAACTGTCGCGGCGGGCCGTGTGTCTGGGTCTTGGGGATGGAACCTCATCTGCCTAGTCCCGCTTTCCATTGAGGACGTTGAAGATTTGTTCATATTTGGACTCACGATAACTGGATTCCTGCTGATCGGCTGTGGAGGAGTCCTGGTTTATCGGAAAATGAAAACGATCCTGACAGCAGTCCGGGAATGTCAAAATCTGTCAGGGACCGTGGATGGGATCTCCTGTAGTGAGAATGCACAGACTCAAATGCTGGGGGATATAAGTCACAAACTGGATGTGGTTCTTACGAGAATCACAGTTCAGCAGCGTGCCCGTGAGGAGTAAGATCACACCTGGGTGAAGTTTCACACGGAGAGAGGCAAGGACGTAACTGAATTTGGAACATTGGCATTTTCGCAACACAGAGGCTCAAGACTCAAAGCAGAGAAATCAGGCTGCTTGCCCCAAACAATTCTGTTTATCATTGGATCCCTGCAGCTGTGTCCTTGGACACAAGTTATCAAAACCTCCCTGAAATGACACGTGAGAAGAAAGCCTTGAAGCCATTCCACATCCGCTTCACTCGTGCTTGGATCAGTCTGAAGGCTGCATTGGGTGAAGACAGATAACTGACTTTGGTGATTTGTGCTTTGACTGATAACAACTTGTTTGGACTCTGGAGGTCTTTGATTGGTTCCAACACGGAGTACTATCCTAGATGTCACCGGCTCCGCTGAACCCCTCCCCATACCATGTGTTTCTGACCCCACACACCCCTCCCCTCCTTAGCTGACTTGCACTGTGCAGAGTAGTTTTTTTGAGTGTATKTTTGTGTGTTTTTGTATAAAACACAGGATCAGAGCTCTTTTTATTAACTCGCCTTTCCTATTGTGTGTGTATTCTAAGCTGCAAAGTTAGAGCACCGTCGTGCGAAAGACCGTGTACATACGTTCCCCCATGTTTGTCATGTGTGTGTGTTTCTCCGGACGGATGTTCTAAACTGCAAATTTTGTTCTGCATTACATCTTGATGTTGTGTGTGAAAGACAAACTATTCTGATTTGGGAGAAAAACAAAGAAAGCCAAGTTGTTGCAGTACCTCAGTGGCCTGTTGGCCACTAAAAAATTGTAAGAAAATACATCATTTTTTAAATGCAGTTGAAGGAAATTTTGTAAATAATTAACTGAATCTTAGATCCAGTTTTGTATTTTATACTTTCTGATCATCGCAGCCATACATTTAAAATAGAGGATGAGAGTGGTTGTGTGTTATCGATGTGTTCTGGCTGTAGTATAAACAAAGTTGGTTATGTTTCTGGCATCTGACGTAAAAGGTAACACCTCCAGGGGTGTAACCAGGAAGATAAACTCACTATAAGCCGTAAATTCATCATTATAGAAGTTTAGAAGTGAGCTGCACGGTCTCAGTTTGAGCACTCGGTTTTTGAAAATCAATGTATTTTTGTGTGCTTGACTTAAAAAACTGCATCTCTTCCACAAACCGTAAGTAAACACAGTTCACCACGATGGTTAAAGCTCTATTGTGCAACTAAGCTGTATATAAACACCAACCAATAAAAGCTGTCGTGTTCACTGAGCTGAAGCTCATTTGAAAACAAATTGTTCACCAAGAAACCTTTTTTTAGAAACCACAGATGCAACGTCATCATCTAAAGATGAGAGGGACAATCCAATCAGGTATCAGCTTATTGTTCAAACTTAAGTTTGCCTCTCAGATTGTATGGGGGTCCCCAAACTAAGGAGGGCACCAGAAACCTTCCAGTGGAATAACCAAAGGCTGACTTGTGTGTGCAACCAAAATCCAGCTAACAAAGAGAGAGCACAACCACAGGAGGGTGCACATAGCCTGTCTGAGGGCCTCTCTGTGTGATTTTTTTGTTTGTTTGTTTGTTGTTGTTGTTGTTTTGTTTTTGCTTTGAGTGTCGCATGTCGCCCGCGAGGGGACATGGGAAAAAAGAAAGAAGGAAAAAAAAAGGATCCTGACTTACTAAGTTAAGATCCTGAGAAACAAAGATGGGATCCTGAGAAAGTTTCTCGGGATCCTGGCTGTGTCCAAAACGGCAGGAYGGGTCCTCCGAAGGTCGAATTTGTCGGCCGCATACGTCACAGCGCCGCGACGAAGGACGTCCAAAACCGAAGACTCCTCCGATGCGGCCGACAAATACGTCCTTCCTTTGGCCCGAATCGAAGGTCCTTCCCGGCCCAGCATATCCCATAATGCATTGTGGCCCGACCGGAGATTTTTTTTATGCTAGTAATGGTGGACAAAACGAGAGAAA